CTAAAGAGAGAGCCAAAAAAGGATCTTTCGTGTATAATCCTGCATAATCTCGAATGTTCTCAGTTCCGGTACGTAGACCAAATAAGACAATGCAAACAAAAGTTCCTAGATTCATGGAGATATAGAACAGCATATAAGTTATCATGCTTGCATATATTAAGAATAATTGGGATGGACTGCATAAAAATAAAACATCAAAACCTAAAAGATATTGATCGGTATAGATTGCATAGTAACATAAAAAAAATTAAAAAATAGATTAATATTTAGAGTGTCGTTTACAAACGCTTACAAGCAAGAGTCACCACCTTCATCTTATTAGATTACATTTTCGACCATCAAAATGAATTGTTAGCAAGCATTTTTCACATGATAAGTGCTTACCAGATAAGAGCTTTCTTCTTGACTTACCAAGAAAGAGCTTTCTTCTTCAGTTACCGAGCAAGATTTTCAGTTCTTGACATGTTCATTTGATAAGCTGAGTGACACCAAGTAAATGCTTACTCGATAAGCGTTTTTGGTAATCAAAACACTTAATAGTTTATATAATTGTATATACCCCTATCTGCTAATACTTCTATTTTTATAGATTGATCATGCAATTTGTATTAATATAATTTATGGTATAACTATGTATTTTTTTATTACAAAATTATCCATCTCGCTCATCTAACCTGCCATCCCATTGTTACTCCCTTCCATTTTTTCTTCTCACTCTTGATCGATCCATCGATCGATAAAGGGATTTTCCTGCATCCCGACCCATGGCATCCACCCAAAACGAAGTAGATTGGAAAGGTTTATTCATCATATAGACACCAAAACCACTTTATCATTTCTCGTTCGACTGAAAGGTTTACTTTAGAACCATCTTATCATATGTGATGCCTTTTTGTACATATGCATATATAAGCAACCGTGGGCAATGCAGTGTTTGTGGTCGGGTTTACTCATCATCTGGATACATATCCAGAAACTGCTTTATGATCTCTCGTTCGTTGGTCGTTAGATCAAAATCATCACTACCCAATCTTGTCCATAAAGCAGCGCTTATGCTCTCTGGATCGTTGTCGACTACCTGCAACAGTGAAAAAGCTAACTAGTAAGAGAGTTAAGAGTGTGTTATAGCTTGTAATGGATTACAAACATCCATTAAACATGTTTCTGATTCATGGAACCCCCTAATACTTCAGTTCTCATAATCTCAAGTCGATGCTAATATAGAGCCATTTTGATGTGCCAACACAACATTAGGAACGTCCCCTTCATTCTATACTGACCCGACTGGTGCCCCGCCCCCCTTATTTGAGTTCGCACCTGAGAATTGTAAAAAGGCTAGGCCTACCACCTATGTTTTTTAGCCTTAGAATTTTGATGACAGAATCGAGATGTGTTTTACCCCAAATGTGATGTTCGATTCCACACGTACATTAATACAAGTTTTTGGCTAATAATTAGATACTGAATGTACCCCTTAATAAGACAAAATTGAGATAAACATATTGATCACAATTCGATCTTACCAATATCTTGTAATGGACAAATAGATAAACTTATATTAGAATTTTTCTAAAAAGAAAAACATTATATTTTTCGGAAGACAGCTCAAAATATAAATTATTGCATTTTAGTGTGTGTAGGGAGGGAGTGGTAGTTACTTCCAAAAGAGATGGTGACTGTAAATGCATTATAGCAAAATGCAGCAAACAGACCCAACAACTTCCGAATCAACTTAACATAAGTTATTGGTAGACCACAATTTTAAGCCTATAAGGATATCATGAATCTAAATTCCTTCTCATGTGGAACGTTTTGTTTGTTACAGTTAAATACACATAGTGGTATGTAGATATGACTCTTAAGGGCTACTTACTAAACGCTTACCAGGAAAGTGCTAACCAATGTCATTTACCTTACCAGGTGAGCATGGCAAAGGCCGAAAAATCTTACCCGAACGAATAGGTTTATACGAGTCCTCCACCATGTATTCGAGTGAGGGAGAAGACATTTACCTGGTTAGCGCTTACCAAGTAAGAGACTTACCAACAATCCATTTTGATGGCAAAGAATGTTACTCGTTAAGGTAAGTGAGGTTGGTGATTCTTGCCGATAAGCTTTTACCAGGCCCTTAGACATTTAATGATGATGGCATGATGCATGGTAGTAATAGTCTACTAGTTGTAGTAAAATGCGAACATTATCCATTTTATACTCCAATTTTCTCTTTCTTTATCCTTTTAACTATGGAGGAAGAGTGAAGAAATTAAGGAAAAAAGGATCACTATCCTGTGCTACTGAAACATATGTATAAAAGGTAACGAGGTTGAACTGTACCAGGATACAGTTGTTGATGTGACCATCCTTGTTGACAGGAGTAACAGGTTCATATTTATTGGTCATCCATTCGCCATCAACTATGTACTTGTATTCATAACGCCCCTCCTGTCATGAAATAGCATTTAAAGAGCACACATAATTTACAATAGTTAGCCTGAAAAAATTTTGTTTTATCATAACATTAATTTCTTCTAGACTAAACTCTGGTTGTGTGCAAGAGTACTGCTCATAAAAATGTTAGGCTTGTATTTTATATATTTTAAATGCCCTGCAATAATGAGAAATACGAGAATGTTGGAGACCAAAATCAATGCAATCAAAATTTTGCTAAATTTTTCCAGAAGAGGAAATGTTGCATTTATATGATGAAAATTGTTGCATCTATTTCGGGACAGAGGGGAGTTGGAAATATACTAGATTCTGAGAACACCTTGGAAAATACTAATTATTTTACTTATAAATGTTATCATTTTTTACTTAATTATCTCTTTAATATCCATGGCCCTGCATCACATCTCAACTATGGAGATGAAAGAAAAGTTAGCTCCCTTGAGTACCAACATGACTACCATCACTTTTGCATTAGCAACCATAAGCACCAAAATCTATGGCAGTCATTGATTTTCAACAGAGAAGATAATTACCAGTAAATCTCTATGAAGAATCCATGAACCATGCTTCTCATCATATTTTAACGGAATTTTCTGCAATGAATCAACATATTTAACAAACAGATCAACTCACACTCTCAACATGGTAAGAGTTGGGATAAGAGACCCAATACGATTGATGTATTCTGGAAAAAATATCATAGACTATACCCTAGACACTCAAATGTTCGAAGAAATCTGGTATTACCTTGGCATTTAAATCATCAGGACAAAATATACTAATTCCTAATGTTTTTAGCTCAGGTTTAAAAATGGTAGTTGAGCATATTAGAAAAAGGATTCACGAAACTCACCACAACCAACCATGATAAAGACCAAATTGAGCTTCGTTGAGAGGTAAAACTTACATTTAAGAACCTATGATCTTACTCTTTCTTATAAGCAATGAAAGAATATAAAATCAAGGTTAAAATTAAAAACGACATTGTTTTTTGTGAAATATTAGTCAGTATAAATGAACTAGTAAGCCATAATCAAGATTTGAGAAGATAAAACTGCGATATGCTGTTCTTGAACTTCTTATAAATAGAACGTCATATAAAAAGCAGGGTTATCAGAGACAATATTGCAAATTTTGTGGAATGCCACAAAGTGAATTCCCATAAACCTAGACCAGCTTGCATGAAACGCACACATTCACAATTTTCCCATAACTCGATTAAACACAGTAATTCCCAAGTAATGTTCAATTGTTCATCATTTCAAGGAACCAGAGTTTCTTAGAAAGATCAATAGCTATTGGAAACTGTTTGGACGATAACTTTGTTCTACATTCAGATATAATTCTTGAAACTGAAGGCTTTATAAATTACCTGATCCCATCCCATATCAAGTCCAGATATTTCTACCATGGAACAATTATCACCATTCCATGTAAATGTGATGGATCGCTTTTTTAGGCCTGTAAGCTTCAAAAAATGTTCAGTTCAAGAATAATGAGATACTAGGGTTAGAACTTGATGAAGTATAAATATGGAAGTTACAAATCATGAGGTTACTAGATTGGTTGCTTATAAGAATATATAAACAAATAAAATAGAAGCTTGATTCAAAAAAAGGGATCTGAAAAGTATGTAGCTTTGTCATATTTCAAGGAGTCAACGAAGCTTCCTAAATTCTCAAGTGCCAAGGAGAAGATTAATCTTCGGTGTACCCAAGGAATAAACGTGTTAATGAAAAGAGAATGCAATCACCAACAGTGTTTTGATAAACATGTGGTAAGGGGCATTTCGGTAAAATCACTTTGTACCACCTTGATTGTAGACCAAGGGTGGTGACCAGTTGTTAGCTCGGTTAGGAGGTAAAGTCAGTGAGAGTATAGATAAAGGGGTACCAGCCTCTCACAAGCTGGGCAGTTACTGAATCAACAAGTTTCTTTGTGTGATTTTGTCGATTTGGTGCCACAATGCATAACGATGTGCATCATGTTTCTATTCCTATTTTTTGTCAAGGACTCAAGGGTAGCTTCACACTTGTATATGCTATGTAAAAGCATATTATTGTAAAACTTCTTGAATAGAAGTTCACGAAAGACGCACAATATCAGCAGTTGCACTTTTTATAGCATCCACATTCGGGGAACATTTACGTTTTCTCTGCATAGAAATGAGAATGGAAAGTTATATAAGCATTGTTTAAAGATATTGCACATACACACAAGTTTTTAAACAAACAGGATTTTGAACCACACCCAATCATTGGCATGAGTTTCGATAGTGACCACAGGAAACGATTACAATGATTTCTAAGGCTTACAACTTATATTTATTTTTTCTTCTGTATCCCTTCTGTCTAATCATGCTTGAATTATTTTTATGTTATTTACATGAGACGGGTGTGCTCTCAAGAGAGTGAAAATTGTTATTTTTATGTAAATTATTTTTATGTTATTTTTATGTTATTTACAACTTATATTTATTTTTATGTTTATATGCATGGACTTCGGCATGTACAGAGTATGTCAAAAGATTCACGTATTTGCTATCAGAGAAGTAAACAGACCAGTTATAAGGACAATGCTTAAGTTAATCATATATTTTTTTACACCATTCCAAAATGTAAGGAGATAATATTTTGACTTTTTGAAATCAAAAGTGTTACCTTTCAAGTTCAAAATTGGCATGAATTCTAGATATTCTTCAAAAAGTTGATGATTATATTAAAATTCATATTACAAATACAAGAAGTTGAAAATTGTCGGTCACAAATTAGTAACAAAATCTACACAAGTTTACTGTCAGGAAAGTATTAGGTTTTAAACGGGAAGTTTAAATGTCTCTCTTCTTTTATAGAGTGAAGAAAGTGCAATCTAGGAGAAATATATTTACCAGGAGTAGACTGAGGGCATCATTTAGTTTATAACCCTGAACCCAGAACATGTATGCCAGCTGTCATCAGTAGAGACCACATCAACAATTTCATCATTAAAGGGTAATGCAAAATCAATTAAATGCGCAGTACCTTCCTCAATTTTCAAACAGAATTCCATAGAAGGTCAATAATTCATCCTCAATTTGCTTTTGAACATGTATATTGATGTCGTGCAGTAATGGCTTAGAAGATTTCAAGTGGCAAGAAGCGAGAGAGGGAGATAGAGAGATATAGGGTGGTAAAGTAATTTTAAAATAATTGAGTTATCCAGGCATGGTGTATTTCAAAGGTGGCATAGAACTTAAAAGTTTTTAAGTTTGAGATATAGCAGTGAATCATATCAAAAACTTAGAAGTTAATAAGTTTGAGAAGTTAAAGTTTCTGCATACCGCAGTTGCTGGAGCTCTTCCAATTCCAGCCGTGCAATGTATGTAAGTTACTCCACCATTCCGATTAATAGCTTTGTGCAATTTGCTCACCACAGCTGGAAGGCGCAGCCGCAAATCAGATCCATCAAAGTCTCTGCTCCAGAACATTTATAGTTAAACTTACATCAAGTGACTCTATATTTACTACATGCATACAAGACCACACATTAACCTTTGAACGAACTGGTTACAAAAGAACCCATGGAAAAATAAGAGGCCAAACATATCTATAGTTCCTCAAGGGATAGCGGTTACCTTATTTCAGCACGTAAGTGTTGAATGTCATCGAATGTGCTGGCATATTCACGAATGGCACCGATGTCCACACTAAAATATCTAGCGGACAAGTTAGATGGAAAACAGGGAATGCACCTCATTCGTGCTTAAGTTGACCAAGAACTTATCACATGCCAACATCAATTATATGCAGCAGACAAACTTACAAAGTTAATCTAGGGTGAAATTGCATGAACAAGTAACGTAATTTGGAGCAGTTCCTATCGTGTGTGATGTACTTTCAAAACCTTCATTTTAGTACCTCCGATTTGACATCTCCAACATTTAGCTATATTTTTGCATATAAGAATTGCATGAAAATGCAATGTACTTTGATCCGTTTTGTGTAACGTACTTTGGTCTAAATGTTTGAGATATCACATCTCAGATACCAAAATGAAGGTTTTGAAGATATGTTACACAAAATAGGAATCATAGCAAAGTGTTGCATTCTCATGCAATTTGCACTTTAATCTAATAGAAAGCTAGTTAATTTCTTTCTTTCAAATACGAAGGGATTTATCTCAGAATTTCTTATGGATACTCGAGATCTGAGTCTTGTTGCAAGCAGTATATGGTTTTCACTCCAATGCTCCAAAGCTTGTCCACATCTGCTGGAGTCTGCCATTTGTGAAGTACAGGTCAGAACTCAGAAGAAGGTTTCTTGGAAGAGAAAAAACTCATCCAAATTACAAGAGGAGAGAAATATCACCTGTAGACATGATCCAACAATTAAGTCCGGACGAACAAAGTCGTAGTTCATTCCAATTTCATGCCTATAAGTCAAAACTGAAATTAATATATTAGCAAGAAGATATTGAGCCAAAGATGTGGAACCCGGATAATATTTCTACATATCCAGAAGTTTTGAGGATTAGTCCCGTAAAAGCAAATACTAAGATCAAAGGCACAACTATCCTAATGTACAAACTTGATAAAAGAAAATAGAAAAACTAGCCTACCAAGGAATATATGCATCCATCCTCCAGCAATAAATACAGGTGAAGAAATATACGAAAATGCCACTTTGATTCACAACCAAAATCCCTTACTACTGCGAACTCTAGATATACTTGGTTTTCTCTACGTTGAGAAAAACCTCACGTTTTCTGCACGTACTTTTATAACACACTAAGGCTTACTGCAAAAAGTTTCACAATGTCCCTCTTTCACTTTCACTCGCTTGTAGAAATGGAGGAAAACCTTCTTAAGTAGGCCGGAAAAATGAAGGGATTTAACTGCCTCTCAGGTGGTGCACTCACAAAAAACAGATGACTGCTAAGGCAGCTGTCTTCATTCTCCTAACAACCAGGTCGGGCAGTCACTATGAGTGGACCCCAATCCGACCCACCAGACAAGTAGTAACAACATGCAAACAGGGGTGGACCTAGTATAGTGAATACGGTGTCCCGTCGCCCGTGACACCGCTGCATGGTTCCGTCATAGTCGATTTTTTTACATTTCTTAATGATGCCACCATTTTGTTCCGTTGTGTGCTACGGTGCCACCGCTCTGTTTAGTTGCTGGGTCCGCCTCCACAAGGAACAGGGTAAAGGCTCATATACAGTTTGTACTCTGTAAGCAATCTGTCACACACACATATCTTTCATCTTTAGCCTAGAATTTAACTAATAATATCTTTAAAAAAACTTGAACTCACAACCTAAGCTTTATCGAGATCTACAGATATCATTGGGCCACAGGCCACTTGGCCTTGCGTTCAGATATTAAACTACACATAATCAGCATACTTACCAGCACCCATTGCTTCGGTCATGTTCGTACTGTAAATGTCAGATTTTTCCTCATCTTTGGTACCTTCCATGTTGGTACTAGGCGTAGAACTCGACGTCGCCTACATAATCAAACACATATAATTGAGTTACATCAAAGTATGTACGTCTTGAAAGTTGACACATACATTATGACACACAACGATCACCATGTTTTCACTAGAAAACCAAGTTCCTGGTTCATTTTTCCCATGCATACAATTACCCTTATGTTGGCTGTGGTTACTTGGTAGAAGGCTTACCATTTCATAGGGAAAAACTATGGCAACCACCAAAGTTATTTTGGAATTTTGCCATGGGATTTGATCCCAAATAGATGGGAAAGTGAAATCTAAGCACTTAAGCAGCTTTATATATGCAAAAGCGTTTATATAATTTAAATTTAAACATGATTTGGGGGGAAAAGATTTATATATAAATCTTGACTCATCAGTAGCACTTTGCAAGAAAGTGTTGTATATTTTAAACACAATCATGAATGCATTTTGTAAAGATTTCTGTTCTCAAAAATTGTTAATCAGTGATTGTGTTATGTCTACCTGATCAGCAGCCGATGACTTTCAGCTGATGGATTTTAAAGGATGAATTTCAGCTGATTGGTATCCACTGGCATCTCAGTGCTTATCAGCCACTAACAGTTTGTAGAAAGGGTTATGACGGTTTTTCTTGGCAGGAAATCTAGTTTTGGCAGTTTTTTTTTTTATTTTTTAGCACCAAAATTAGTTAATTTTGCAACTATATATACCCTGTATATCATATTGCAAAACAGTACTTTACCCTCCATTCTTCCCTTCATCTTTGATTCCATGATACATATTTAAATTTTCTAGGATTGGATTCATGTATTTGAATTCAATCTAAAATAGTTGTATCCTCTAGGCAATCTCCAACACCATATCGCTACTGGGGGCGAATTTCGCCTTAGGACACTGTAGGCGTCTGTCTATATATGTATCTGTTTCCTTGGGCAATATCATCAACAGGCTAGTAGTTTCCTAATTTTATTAGTATTGATTGGATTGATTTTAGAGTAAACTACATTTTTTGGTCCCTATGGTTTGTTAGAAATTATGGATATCATCAATATGGTTCGTTTATTACATTGGCACTCACTGTGAATCCTTACTGATTTGGTCCCTCGAGATAACTCTATTAAAAAGATCCGTTAACTAAAGGAAATATATTATATTATATTTCTCTCTCATTTTCTATTAAAAAGTTAAAGAATATATTATATTTTATAAAAAACTAACCGGCATGTTTCTCGGCTGTCGTCACCACCACCGCCTGTTGAGGAAGGAAACATCGATTACAAGATTCATAACGGGAGTTTTATCAATGGAATAAGGGATTCCGGAAGAATATTTTGATGTCGTCGTGATTCACAAGAACTATGGTTGGAGTGTAATGGACCATGCAGGGATGGAAGGGTTTTGGGTTTTTGCTATGGCGGTTACAGGTAGAAACAGTGGAGATGCAAACATCAAAGTATGTTTGGTATGTCGGTTCTCGTGAGATTGTGTTCTGTGGATTTTGTCAATTTGAAAGAAAAATAAAAGCTTCATCATATGGGCACGGTCTTTACCTCTCTCTGGGGACCTTCGAGTGGAGAGGTTACTAAAAGGTCCTCCATTAATATTCTTCCAATTATTTTCTTTCTATGCTTGAATTTGCATCTTTAAGCCTGTAGCATAGGGTATAGGAACAAACATATTGTATGAATTTACGGTAAAATCAACTAGGTTCCAAAGTTCTTATCTAAGCGAATGTGGCTACGAATTTGACACACTTCTCCCATACTTGATGTTTGGTTGAAAATTAGAGTGTGGTTTTCAAACTTCGTACAGGAATCAAATCTAGAACACTAACTTTTCGATGAAAAATTCTATAATCCGAAAACTACCGAATCAATCATGTTCCAGAAAGAAGGTAGAGTTCAATTTGTAGGGTCAAAGGTTGAAATTTTGCATCTGAATCGTCAAAGACCTTCACATTTATGTACAAAACTTGAAAAGCATACTCTAATTTTCGACCAAACAACAAGTATGAAAGAAATGTGTGTTAAATCTCTAGCCAAAGTCACGTGGATCTGAACTTTGGAACCTAATTGATTTGACCTTAAATTCGAACAATATGTTTGTTCTTGTATTCTATGCTACAGGTTGTATGATGCAGATTCAAGCATGGAAAGAATATAACTAAAAAGAGGATTAGTTACTAACCTCTCCATTGAAAGGTTCACCGGAGAAAGGTAAAGCATACTTGATGTTCTCATCTTCAAACAACTAAGACCCTGGTCATAAATTATAGGTAACGCGCTATGGCACTACGAAGGGTTTATTAAGAGCTCTCATTAACCACCACCTCCCCCCCCCCCCCCCCAAAAAAAAGAAAAAGAAAAAAAGTATTCATGATGTCAGTTACCCAGAACCATCATTCTCATAATACACAAGTCAAGCACAAGTTATAAATCAAACCAACCCAAGTACATTCGCTTAGTTTTGGCCCAAAGGAGTAGATTCTAACTTCCATACAACTAAAAACATGATGTAGATCTATTCATAGCCTACTGCCAAGTGACAGTTCAATAATCAACATCACAATCAAGTGGGATCAAATGTTACTTTTTAAATGTTCACGAAAGCAGTCACAATTAGTCCCAGACTTTCCATGGGATTCAACATAAACAAAAGGCACAAACTGAACAAAAAATATGCAATCGAATCAGTCTTACCTTAACCAAAAAACTTCCTTGAAGATCAGTAGCATTCATCAATCCCTGCTCATGATCAAAAATAATACACACGCACACCAAATAACACGCATTAAAACACATATATACACAACAATGCTCACATTAAGTAACGGAGTTTACCTTCATATTGACAGAGCTCGGATAAATAGATGATCTACAATTGAAGCTAAGTAAAGGCAAGGGTGAAAAGGATCTGGCAAAACACAATCGATTGTGATGAATTTTACACAAATTCATAACGAATATTGAATGAAAATGAGAAACTGAAACAAACCTTGAAAGATTTGCGAGGCAATTCATCTTTCTCTATTGTGCATAAACCATAAATATCTGAAAGTGGGAGAGATACTTTTTATCAGTTCGCTTGGTGGAGAGAGAGGAGAAGAATCCTGTTGAGTATTGCCTTTTCCTGATTTTTGGTATTTTTGTGGAGTATATATATACTGTATACAGCTTGCCATACTGGTTTACCAAAAGGGGTTTCCCTTTTTCAAGATTCCCCAAAATGCCATTCGCTTTCCCTCTCTTATTTGACGATAGAGATGTCCCGGGCCGGTCCCAATCGGTCCTCACCTTTCTCATAACCGGCCATAACCGGTCCCGGTCTCGGTCCCGGTCCCGGTCGAAAATGATATGACCGGTATAGGTACTTTATAACCGGTTATGGGCAGCCGGTCCCGGTCCCGGTTCCAACCGGTCCATGCATTAAAAAAATAAGATTTTTATTTTATTTTTTTAATGATATATATTTTTAATACATTATAAAATTTACAATTGGGTCACTCAAATACACTTTAAAAATACGTTTTAATATAATTAAAATTACGTTTTCTTATAAAAATACATTATAAAATTATTTAAAAATACATTTATTTATAAAATTAATTGAATTTTCGGGCCGGGCCGGGCCGGTCCTTTGTCAGTCCCGGTCCCGGTCCTCCGGCGGTCCCGAGCCGGATCGGGCTCATTTTGCCATCTCTATTTGACGACTCACACGTGCTTGCACGTGTCGAGTGAAGATTGAAAACTGGGCCTTCATATATTGGACTTGGGCCATCAGACCCATTCTCCTCAACTTACGCGCATCAAAAAAAAAAAAAAACAAAAAGATGCAATTGTATTTTTAGTTTTTATGATTTGTTAAAAATTGTGGTTTTCATCTAGTTCTGAAATTTTAAAATTTTGATCTTTGGTTTACAATTCAGTTTTATTTTCATATGTAAGGTTAAAACACTACTTTTAAATATGAAGTAATTAAATATAAATGAATTGTAAACTGTAGAAACGAAAAAACAATAAATTTTAAATCATAAGGACGAAAAATATAATAGATTATAAACTATAAGAATAAAAATCATTATTTCAAAACCTTAAAAATAGAAATAGAAATTTTCAACTATAAATGTAATCCACTCTTAAAAAAAGGAGGTGATCCGATAAGCAAGGGGTCGTTTATCAAACACTTACCCGATAAGTATTTATCGGTAAAATTTAAAACTACAGTACTTACCGGGTAAGATTTTAGTCCATCAAAACGACATAATATACAATAACTTACCCGATAAGCGTTTATCGTTTTAAGAGTCGTCGTCCACGTTTACCTGAATTTGATTGAAAAGGGACGGGTTAAGGTTCATTTATAACCCATCCATCCCTGTCGGTCACAATTTTTTTAAGGACCGGTTAACCAACTACAACCCATTAAACGTAATGTGAGAATCTCTCATTGATCAACAATATTAAAACTTAAATGAATAAATAAAAATGGACCGGCCAAAGTGAACCAAACCTTGTGGACCGGTAATAACTAGTCAGTATCAGTTACACATTTTGAGCGAGGGGGGACCAGAACCGAATATAACCGTTCAAGGGCCGCGTTGTGACCAGTTTTTGCCCACCTCTAATTTAGTCTACCAAACGGTGTGTCCAAAACGACAAAAAAACTATCAAACTAACATTAGACGGGTTCATCAACCCGAAAAACTATCAAGCTAATATGTCATTAGATCGAAACCAATCGATATCCAAGGGACAAGCAGAGTCGGCCACATTAAAAGTGAAGAACTCGATCAAGAATACTTGTACATTAAAGAACCTAAATATGCGTACACTACACGAATTTGTAGAGTAAATTACGATCTAAATATACAACAAACTCTACAAATTAACCATCATTGCAAAAAGACACCATTGCTGTTTAGCTTGCAGATTTCTTCCCTGTCTGTGTGCGTGTATATATATATATAGGTGTCTCACCTTCTAACCAAAAATGTGCTGGAAACTCATGGACTCGCCGATTGCAAAAAGATCCCGTAGCAATTATTTGCAACGACTTCTCGTTAGCCCTGAACCAATAAGATGGGTGGATGGAACTACATGTGTTGACCTGAGATTATAAACGAAATATTAAATAAAAATAGTAGTAGACTTGAAACAAACCAACAAGAACACAAAACCTTCACTTTTACCTAGTTACATCTCATAAACCCTAATATTTAACCTAAATACATGTCACACGCCCTAATTCTAGCCTAGATATATCTCATATTCTCATAAACACTAAGTTTTACCCCATATATATATATGTGTGTGTGTGTGTAGGGTTGGGTTGGGTTCTTGTTTGACCAACCTGTTTTCGTGAGACCAGCTGTGAAGGCACAAAAACACGTTGAACCTTCACAGCAAAAACACTTGTGGTACAAAAACAAACCTTCGGAGTGTTTTTGCTCTAAAGGTTCAATGTTTTCTTGAACCTTCACAGTATTTTCCTCTGAAGGTTCACTGTTATTTTGTGGTCTCAAGGGTCTCACAGAAGTAGGCTCGTGTCACATGATCCCAAGTCTCTCTCTATACATACATATATGATAAACACTAATTTAACTTAAATAGTTGTGCCCTGATTTTAACCTACATATATCTCATATGCCCTAAGTTCAACCTAAATATATGTCATAAACCTACTTCTAAGGTGAATATACATCCAAAGAAATAGGATTTTGAATAAATCAAATGAACCCAGAAAATCTCACACAGAGTAGAGTCTTAGGGAGGGTAAAATGTACTCGGGCCTTTCCACTACCCTAAAAGGTCATGAGGTTGTTTCAGTGAAAACCCAGCTTGCAGATAAATATTTTCTTGTAAGTCAAGAAAACCAAGAAATGAAGTTTAGAAGAGCGAAAGAAGAGCAATTAGGACAAGCACTCGCTGTAAGCAACAGAAAGAAAAAAGATAGAACAATAAGGGCATTAAAAGAGCATAAGGAGAAGTACGAGGCAACTACTCGACCTAACACGTAAAATGACCAAAATACCCCATCCTGGCTAAACTTGTACACAAACTTTGTTACCCTAGTCTTGCATCTCAATGAACTCCTAAATGTGAGAAACCCTAAATAGAACATATCATATACTTTGACGAAGAAACATGAAAACTAGAAAAAAAACACGGTGTGAACTTACCTTATCATGCAGATGAGATTCGATGTTTTCATTTCCAAATGATGTCTCCTAAGAATTGAAGAGCTGGGACACCTCTGATTTCAACATCAACAAGAGGTGCCTGTACCAGAATCAGACTAGATAGTTCTGGATCATTCCGGATCATGTCAATTGCACGCGTCTGGTCCTGATATATGTACAATATGAAATTTGAGGAATCACTGGAGCACGAAACATTAGCAAAATGTAGGATGACTTCATTTACATATTACAAATGGTTTAAACCCAATCTGATTGAGGGGTTGAATCTTCACCCAATGAGTAAATTAGGGTTGCATTGGTCCAAAGAACCCAGATCTAGAAAACACGCTTAAACTAATGCTCTAGGGATTTGACGGCTGAATGACAACCGACTGACCCAAAGAACGATTCAATTATTCACCCAATGACCCATAAAAGTATTTTCAATACAACTTTTCTTAGTTCTGAAGAAAAGGGTTGTGCTACACTGCTGAGCGCAACCATCATGGGGGAGGTAAATCATGGTGTCATAGGACAGGGTGGGCGGGCCGGATTTGAATCCGAGACCAAGGGACAACTTTTCTTAGTGCATTTACTTTGCATAGCTAAACAATTTTTGTAGAAACTCTCAAATTGTCATGTGGTATTAGTATTTAATTAAATAATTATGTAATAATTGCGTAATACATTAAAAACGTATTTTTTTCGTTTATCACATGATAATATGGAAGAATTCGTACCTTCCTTTTCATAGCACAAAATTTGCAGTCTGAAGCAGATTGGGGAAGAATTTGATTAACGATAAGCCTTTTGACAGGAACATTTTCCTTAGTAAGCGAAGCACGCAACCTTGACGACTCACTGATTGCCATTACCTTAAAAAATCATAATGGAAGTGGCAATGAAGTTAAGAACATCTAAGTCCATACGCTTTCGATAATGAAACAAGATGTTAATTTCATTGTGATTTCGCATCAACAAGCATGAAACTGCCCAAAATCAACAATCAACAGTGATCGCTTACTGCTAAACTGGATAAACCCTAAACGAACAGGTCGGTTTGGGTTGAATACGAGATTATAAGAACTGTTTGCGCTTCCAAAAGTTTGTAGGGGGTATTACCGTAGGGATTGTCACTATAACGAATTCTGTTGAGTTGGTGTCACGAAAAAGCTCACGTACTTTAATCATTCGCTCCCTTAGTTTCTCCAGTTTATCCGACTACATGAGCATGAAAAAAGATATTCGGTTATCGTTCAAGTTAAATACAGTGCAATACCGAGTTCGCTATATCATTCTGCTTACAGCATCTTGGCGAGTTTCTTCCTGCCCAAATACATTTTTGATGGCTGCAGTTGCTGACGATATTTTCTGCCTAAGCTGTTACATGGAAAATTAAATATGAAAATATCAACAAAAGGAAATGTAGATATAAAGGATCCACACAAGCGTAATTCTCGTATGCCACAGAACAAGGGCCATTTATGTTTTTTAATGACCATGGGTATCCGGGCCAGCTTGCATGCATATCGACAAATCCCACAGGGGCCCTGAAATTGACAGCCAGGGAAACCTCTAGTGGCCCTGAAGGGACTCAAACATGTGACCATCGTGGAGCAATTAGTTTAGTTTGCATAAGCATATGAATTGAGCTACACCATAGTGGACCCACTAAAGGGTCTAAACGTGTTTCATACCAAATTGACCGGGCACAGTTTTAGGAAGAGAGTAACCTGTTATCTTCTCCGTTGAAAAGAAACTCATAATTACTAAACATACAAGTGAGTTCCAATGAAGTAATAGGTGATCGCAGCCAAATCGCGCATTTAATCAAAAACTTTATTCTCCAATCTCCACAAGTCCGAGTTAAGAACTTTACCTTCAATATCTTCCCGATTGATGCATCCAAGAAATCAGGCAACGACAAGAGCCGTAGTGTATGACCCTGTTACCACATCTTACCATGTTCAAGAAACTATCCATTCAACGCAATTACAAATTTTTATAAGGAAAAAAACACAACCATCTCACTTACAGTGGGTGCGGTATCAAAAACTATACGCGTAAACATGTTATATTCTTGTGATTCAAGAAATTGAATAACCTGCCAAAAGGTTTATGCAATCAACAAGACGTAAAAAACATTGGTTATAAAACTAAAAAATATACAAACCTTTATACAATTATTACCTTGGAAATTGCAATAGCTTCGTCTAAACCTGGAGGAGGTGTGTCCAATAGCTCCCCTAGCTTCAGTTCTCCCAACTTTGTTGATCAAAGAAAATAAAAAACATCACAAATGATCAAATATTTAAAGAAGATCATGATTTTAAAGGAAAGCAAAACGAATGGGAAATGCCACCGTTATCAGCCCCCTGCCGTCAGCCTCAAAACGAGAAACACAATCACACAAACATAAAATACAAATATACGAAAAGCTAGGAAAAAGAAACAAGCATAACCACAACATCCCTAAAACACCAAAAAGGACTAGAGATTAGTTGATTTACTTGTTCAGCAAGCATTCCAAGACCCATGCCGTCCATGAAATCTTTGACTCCGGTTCCACCATTCTTCTTGCTTACATCACGGAATTCTTCTCTTGCTTTCTCGGGATTTATCTGCCAAGAGTTTACCAATATCATTAAAATAGGCGTACAACAATCAAGGTGAGATTTGAGGAAGAGATTAAACTTCAAACTATCATATACAAACCTCCAGGGCAAAGAGAGGAGAAATAGGTCCGTCCACTGGTACAAGAGTCCCGCCAGTCAGATCCTAGAAAACAGAGATGCAAACAAAATGCAACTTTCAAAACAAGGAATCAATATGAGAAAAATAGATCATTTAATTGAAAAAATGGGGAACAGAAAATGTACAAATTACCTGAGCGAAAGAATCACTTAAAGAATGTGCAGGATCAGTTGAAACTACAAGAGTTGGATGACCATTATTTGCAAATTTTACAGCAAGTGAAGCAGCACAACTCGTTTTACCAACACCGCCTTTCCCGCCTAACATGTAATACTTTCTTTGAGTCCCGGAAACCATTTCATCGAACTCAGCTGTCGTTTCGACAGGAGCTACCGCTGATCTCACTGCAATGAGTTCTTAGCATAAATACTTATCAAAAGAATGCAAGTTTTAGCATCATGGTCTTTCCTCAAAAGATTAGCATGCTCTAAAAGCTACAAAACAGCCAAAAATAAGCTTTTTGGTCAAACAAACAGCATTGACTTCATTCTTTCACTCTGTCAAAGGATTTGCATGATGAAGAGCACTGTAACTTTTATATAAATAAACAAGCGATTAACTTCCATCATACGCGGTTTTAGGCACTCACTATGGGTGGATGCAGATCCGACCTAGGGCCTGAAAACCAACATAAATTAACCATGAATTTAACCTTTGTCTAGCAAAGAGACCACACAAAATGAGCTATTGTCAATCTAGAAATCAAAAGAAGCTCCATCTTTATTTGTGTTTCTGTTCTATAAGTAGTTGTTTTTGAATACCTTTCAGCAAGTAATTTTAGCTTTGACATTTTCCCCATGTCATGAAATGATCCCCGAAACGAGAATTGGTGTAGTTTTTACTCGAACGGGTGCAAAACGCATCAAGAAATTAACAAGGGGATTACATCAACAACTATTGTGCTCGACACTTTGTATCAAAACAACCTAATTGAAAAGATATCTGCGTACATTCCACCCCCGACCCTAAGCTTAGGTGAGAGTACTGGATCGGGTTTGTTCGGTCTGATTTGTATCGAAACAAGTCAACAACCATCATAACTGGAAAGATCTCTGGAAAAATCATGGAAACGTCAAACATGAATATTTGTAACCACTGTCTTTGATTTTAGCTTAACAACATTTGGCAGACTTTGCAGAAAATTATTCATGTTCTGTAGGTACTATGTTTCTTTAGATGTTTCAGACATCAATTATTGTTTTGATACAAAAAGCCAACTACGAATTTACATAAGAAATTCACCTCAAATTAACCGACCAAATTGACCAACCTATCAATGAAGATGTTCATTGAATTTGAACTTTATAAACTAGTCTGAATCCACTCAAATACACAATAGCCTTTCATAACAATTCACATACAAACTATACACAGCTAAAGATTCATCCAAGTTCAATTGGAATGAAAACCCTCTATCGGAAATCGTCAAGAAAACCATCTTAAAACTAACACAAATGTACAAGAATTAGCCCCAAAGTGGAAAGAAGAACCACAATTAAATATATGGGTATCAATTAAATCTCACCTTTAAACAAATTTCTTGGTTGTTTTCTTTTCGAAGAAAGGGAGAGAAGACTGGAGCTGAGAACTGCATCAACCTTGTATGGATTAAAAGGGTTTGGATAAGAAATAAACCCGGTTTGCGTTATAGATGTGAAGCGGTTCAGTATAGGAGAAGAAGGCATGGAAGTAGTGGCATGATAAGGTGCTACTGCCATTTTTGGTTTGCTTTTTTTGGGGGAAGATCTTGAGAAGGGTTGAAGGATGAACGGTTTTATAGGAGGATTTCGCGGAGTGAACTCCAAGATAACTTGCAGGGTTGGAAGTGACCCACATATGAAAAACTTTTGCCCTTCTGAAAAGTTTGTTTCGAGTCCTTGTATTTATACAAAATTGCAGTTGATGAACTCCGATTTTCTTAATAATACGGTGTTTGGTTTACAGAATGTTTTTTTGATGTAATTAAATTTATCAAAGAAATTTGATTATGAAGTAATTGAAATAATTTTTTGTTAAATTTGACATTTGTTTGGCTGGAAGAATTGAAATGGAATTTGTTAAAGAGAATTGGAGTCTGTCAGTTTGGTTCACATAACGTAGCTTTGGAATTTGAATAAAATTGTGGTAAATGATTAAAATGCCCTTGCAAAAACAGACATAGCATCTGGAAATCATTATAGCAAACAGATACAACATCTAGAAATCGAAACCATAGATCGAGAAAGTAGGGCGAAGCATAAATCGAACCATATAGCATCAAACAAATTGAACCATAAACAAATTGAAGTGATAAATCAAACATAAATCGAACCAACAAACTAAAGTTCAACAAAAGTCGAAGCATAAACCGAACAATAAATCCCATAAATCACATAGAAAGCTGATGGAAAAGACGATAGTGTATTTTCAAACTTGTGTTGAAGATGAAATTGAACCTGTGTGAAAGAGAAATCGAACCCTGGTGTTGCAATGGAGAAGACGAGATGTTCTCGAGAGTTTTTCCAGATCGATGAGAAAAAAGTGTCAGCTATGAAAGATATTAGAGTATATTTGGAGTTAAAGGGTGTTTTGGAATTATGAACATGTTAATTTTCATTCTATTAAAATACCATGTATATCTCACTGAATGTCAAAATCCCTCATTCATGGAATTTGATGGGATTTAAAGATTCCTTCTAGTAAAAAGAACGAACCAAACAAGGAATTGAATGTGGTAAAATGAATTACAATAGTTGTTTTTTTTTTCTGTAACTTATTTAATTCAATTTTTTATTATAATTTAATTTAGATTTAATAACAAAGTAATTTATTTTGGTTTAATAATATAATTTTTTATAAAGATAATAAGTAAACATTATGTTAGAACTTAGTGATTATCTTAATTATATTTTTTATTTTGTATATTTGAAATTGATGTTTATATTGTATTTAATTATGTTTATCTGCAGTTAGTCACACGAATTTAAAAATAGAGCTTCAATAAGTTGTACTTACGCAAAATTACTTGTAATCTTCAATTTTAAATAATATGCACCAATAAACAGTACTTCATGCATAAAAAAGTGATTTTTAAAAGTTTTTTGTCAAATGTTTTATAATATAGTGTAGATATTGTAATATTTGGATTTGTTAAAACAAATTTTAGAAAAATCTATCATTTATAATTTTAAATAACCATTGTAGATAATATAAATAAAAATAAAAATGGT